TTTCTGCTATAAAATTCTGTTATGCGGCCTTAATTTGCATTAATTAGAATGACACAAATTATCATCACCGTGCATCTATTACGTGGGTATTGTTCCAAAATAAAAATTACAAATAGCATCTTTAAAGAGAAAAGCTATGTGTTTGGTCTAAGAAAATGGTTATGCTTAAACCACCAATTTTGTGTCCTACCAAAACTAGTGAAATATATTATTTGTACATACAGTATGTTTGAAAGAAACAAAAAAAAGATGAAGGTAAAAACTATCACAGGCAGAATTAGATATCAAAATTTGAAGAGTTAGCCCAAAAAGTAATTTGAAAATTAAATAAAATTAAATAAGCATTTCGGTAGCTTTTTAAACAAGTTCCTGACCTTATTTAAAAATAAATTTATTTTAAAGCACATATTTTGAAAAATTGGTATGAGTGGGTTGTATTTGTCTACTGTTTTGGTAGCATAAGGGAATTCTTGCAGCATAGTGAGTTCGGTTAATAGCCTACTGCAAAAATATTACTATCAATAATAGTAACACTATTGAAATGTTACAAGGAGTGAATTGTAGTGCTGCTATTTAATCTCTGTTCTGTGTCCGTAACATTTTGATTTTTCCCATACTGGGTAAACCCAAAAGGAACGACCGGGAAGGTCCTCATATGGTCTACATCTGGGTGGGTTCAGCAAATGTTACAGTAGATGATATTCCACTTTCTTTCAGTTATGTAATTGTGTAATTATCTTTTCAGATCATTTCAAATGCTGCTTCTTTCAAGTGAGTTCAAAAGTGACTTCATCAAAAGGAGGACCAACTCATTCAGTCTCTCCCTCTGCAAAGCACCACAGTTCCAGGAGATGGTCCAGAATACTTCTGATGAGTCAGAAGCAAGACCTGACCCTCCTTTCCTCCCGCCTTAATGGAACCCTTCTACTAATTAAACTTATCATTAAACTAACCCAGGGATCTCCATGAAAGCCTCCAAATAAGATAGTGGGAAAATCACCTAGAGCGAGTGCTGATAATACTTTGTTAAACAGATCACGGGCCCAAAGATATAAATGATCTTCACATTCTTATTCCTTGGGATCCGCTGAACAGGCAGTTAATCTAATAAACAGGCTGGAAAGCCATTAAAAAGCTTGGCCGCTGCTTTGGTATTTCTTTTTGCCCTGGAACAATGAAGGGCTAAGCTACACAACCCATTCTCCCCCTTTTTATAAAAAAACAAGACAATAAAGTTATCCTAATAAATAATATTTACTCACCCTTTCAGGCAAGGACAATGAGCTAATGTTTATTTAGTATCTTGAAGCTACAAATGTACCAACCCATGAGCTAAAGTTGCTATTACCGCAGCAGTTTTTCCAGTGCGTTGTCCAATCTAGCTTTAAATGACTCAGTTAATGAGATGCTCATCATTTCCCTGGAGAGGCTACTGCATAGAGCAGTTAAGTGAGTTATTGAGATTTTAGGTTATTCATCAAAACTCTTGTCAGTTGCTTTTTAATTATTTATTTGAAGTTCATCCTGAACTAGCCCGTCCATTTGGCAAATGCAGTCGGGCATGTAGGAATCTTTTGCTTACTATAAAGGATTTTCATAATATTCTCCTTAATTATAATGAGTATTATGATAGATTGATTCACAATCTGCTGAAGGAGACATCCAAAGTGCTCCTTATTAGCTCCCTTTTTGGCTTGGCTTGAAGCACTGAATAAGGTCCTCAGGACTCCAAGTTGTGGATCCTGTGCTATTTGTCATCTTTATCAATGATTTGAATGGCAGGGTTGATGGATGCGTAGCAAGTCTGCAATTGACACTAAACTGGGAAGTCTGGCTAAGTACATGAGAAGTTGTAAAGCGTTCCAGACTGACTTGAGCTATGGGATGAAATGAACAGAATGGAATTTAACAGCATGTAGACAGGAAAAATATAAGGCACAAGTGTAAGATCAGCAAGACTTGGTTTGATATTTGTTTAATAAAAAAGAATCTGGGTATTGTTAACCACAAGCAATAGATGAGCTAGCAGAGGGATGCAGATGCTGAAAGGGCTAACAATATCCTGAGACCCTAAATCACAGGAAGAAATTGTTATACTCTATTCTGCCCTGATTTGAGTGCACCAGTTCTGCACACCTTTGTTTTAAAAAGTCTGTGAGAAACTAGAGCGAGTTTTAAAAAAAAAGAACAACTAAGATGTAAATCAAGCCCTGTGAGGATGTTAAAAGATCTGGGCATCTTTATTGTATAGTGATGCAGTGGCTCAGTGGCTAAGATGCTGAGCTTATCGATAAAAAGTTGGCAGTTTGACAGTTCGAATCCCTAACGCCACATAAGAGTGAGCTCCCGTTACTTGTCCCAGTTTCTGCCAACCTAACAGTTTAAAAGCATGTAAAAATGCAAGTAGAAAAATAGGGACCACCTTTGGTGGGAAGGTAACAGCATTCCATGCGCCTTCGGTGTCCACATGATCAGAGACATCTTCAGAAAGTGCTGGCTCTTCGGCTTTGAAACGGAGATGAACACTGCCCCCTCCTAGAGTTGGGAACAACTAGCACATATGTGCGAGGGGAATCTTTACCTTTTACCTAGAGGTGGATTAAAGAAGAAACGATAGCAGTCTTAAAATATCTTAGCATATTGCAGAGGAAGTGGACTTGTTCTATTCCCGAGTGCAAGACCAAAACTATAACTACAAAGAAATAGATTCAGTGGCGAGTTCTCCTTCCATGGAGGTCATCAAAGAGGTTGAGCATGCTATCAGACATGCTCTGGAGGAACTTGCATGGAATAGGTCATGACTAGAACACAGAATAAGAAGGTTAGGGTTGGAGAACTTCTAGTCAAACCCCGTTCCAAGCTGGGGACCAAATGCCATTCTGGTACTTAGTCTCTTCTTGAAAACCGCCAATGATTTCTAACATCTACAACTTTTAGAGATAAGCCCTTCCAATTGTTCTGTTAGAAAATTTATCCTTACTTCTAGATTGGCTCTCTCTTTAATTATCTCCCACTCATTACAGGTAGTCCTTGACTTATAATGGTTCATTTAGTGACCGTTCAGTTACAACAGCACTGAAAAAAGTGACTTATGACCGCTTTTCACAGTGGCAACATTTGCAGCGTCCGCATGCTCATGTGATCAAAATTCAGGTGCTTGGCAACTGGTACATATATGACCATTGAAGCATCCTGGGGTCATGTGATCACCTTTTGTGAACTTCTGCCAACCAAAGTCAATGGGGAAGCCAGATTCACTTAACAACCGGATTACTAGCTTATCAACTGCAGTTATTCCTTTAAAAATGGTGGCAAGAATTGTCACAAAATGGGCATAACAGCATAAATTTTGGACTCAATTCTGGTTGCAAGTCAAGGACTGCGTGTACATCTTGTCCTGAGCTCAGGACAAGATCTATTCTCCAAATAGGTTGACATCCTTTCCTCTGCGACAGCCCCTCAAATATTGGAACTTATCATATCACCCCAATCCAGTAGTGGGTTGGAGGCGGTATGCCCGGTACAGGCGTACTGGTGCCTGCCCAGAGCAATGGTGCTCCAGAGGGCCCACCCACCCGCCTGAGCTCACCTGTATTTGAGCTCTTTGGTGCTTCCGTGCACGTACATGGAGCGCATGGTGCCTGCGTGACACTCCACTGAGCAGCGGGAGCATCAAGGAGGCGTTGCACGTGTTCATGTAGTGGACGCCAGGCCCTGTTGCAACCATACCAGTTGCAACGGGATCTGGAATGCACCACTGCCCCAATCCTTCTTTTCATTACATATACCAAGTTCCATCAATCGTTCATCATATGGTTTAGCCTCCAGATCCCTTACCATCTTTGTTGCTCTTCTCTGCACTCTTTCTAGAATCTCAACATCTTTTTTTAGTTATTCCTAATGACCATATTATTAAGATATCCTATAGCTCCATGAATTATGACTAAAAAAATTAGTAACATTTAAGTATTGGAGCTATAAGTCATTACCCGAGAGGCATGCCAGTGTTGAGCTGAATGATTGAGCCAGTTTAGTATTTCAATATCATACCTTTGCAAATAATTAGAGCTGTTTAGATTTTTCCAGCTATTCTAGGTTCCTTCCCTACATTCCAAAACTGTTAATCAACAACAAATGACCCGAGAACAACAAAGGCAACAAATGGATTAACTACATTCTGACTCATGATCCTCAATAACTTTCCCCCACTCCCAAAATGACCTTTTTGAAGGTCAAGTTGTTGCCGTTTGTTGTGGCAAACATATTTACCACAACAAATGGCAACAACTTGACCTTGAAAAAATGAAGTGTCACATTTCTTCATTTTGTTGACTCTGCCAATATGGTTATCCTATATCTTCTTTAAAATAGCTAGAACTTTCTTGGAGTAAAACTGGATGTGCTTGTGATTTACTAACTAAAATATGTTAAAGCTCACTAGTACCATCTTTACTGTTAGTAAGGAATGCTGCATGTGGAACCCTCTGTCTTCTTTATCTTATTAAAAAGCATTATGTGAAAGCTTCAGTGGATCAAATTATGATGGATAGGAAAAGTTAGTATTTTTAACTCCTTAAGGCATGTGGAAGATTGCAACTTGGTATACAGGAGAAGCATGAGTTAATTCATAAAATAAAAATTAAAAATTGATACATTGTGAGCACGTGAAACAAGAAGAAAGGGGAAGGATATAATAGATCGGAATTAAGATTAAGCTGAATCAGACAGGAAAGTAGAAATGTAAGAAGAATTATGAATTAAAATATATGTCTAAGAGTATCAATGGGATGATTGTTGACGTATGTTTTGCTCTCAGGAATGGCTTTATTAATGGAAATATTTGTGAAAAAAATTGTGCAATATTGAGTTAATGCAATCAAGTGGAAAAATATTCTACTAGGTGATGTGAATGGATGGATGAGAAATGAAAGTAGAGAAGTGATTGAGCCATTTACAAATATCTTGATGAATATCTACTTTAAAAATAGGTTTTCTTTGAATACATGGTTTTAACATAAAGAAAACACACAGTAAATCTAAAAGCTGACTAAATATTTGAATATGATGAAAACCATAAATGATAAAACTATATAGCATAGTTAACAAGTGCTTTAAAATAAGAGCAAGGAGTGGCATAAAGAGATGTTGTGGCTACCTGATTCTTTAATGTATTTATGATATATCTATAAGATCTTGAAGCTAGGTTGGTTAGGGACATGAACATACAACAAATATTTACACTAACTGAGATCAAGAAGTGAAAATAAAAAATAAATAAAGCAAGCTTGCAAATTCTATAAAATTCTATTGTGCAGTTGATCCTTTAATCTTTATTGAATTTATTTGTTCAATCTGTACTGTTTTTTCAGTGATTATAGATTTTGATTTTTTTAAAAACAAAAAATAACATTCAAAACAAATATATTTGCTAAATATCTCCTCAAAATGATACATGTAATATAAAATACTCCAATCTGCATTCCACTGATATCTTCAGGAGCTATCATGGATTTCCCCTTCTTCCTCAGAAGAATTTTCTTTAATCATGTCTTCGTTAGATATATTGATTTCTAAAGGGGAAAAAGAAATATATTTATACAGTATTTGTTATTTACTCAATCTAGTTGCATCTGCCACTAATGTGCCTATCTATAATCACACCATTATAGAATGCAGAATTTCTGGATTGGCTATAAAATTGTAGTTCTCAAAATAATACAGGTAGTTCTCATTTAGCAAGTTTCTTGTACAACAACTCTTCAAAGTTACAATGGTGATGAAAAAGTAACTTTGGAACTCATCCTTGCATATAAGCCCTTCCTAAATCTGTAAAACAAAGGAAAGCTGAAGTAAGATCATAAGCACAGTCATTGTTTCACTTAGCAACCACTTCACTTAACAACTGAATTGCTTGTTGCAAATTGTGTTTGCTAAATAAGGACCACCTGTAAAAACATTGCTGACAGCAAAAAAAAAGTTCTGTTAACCTCTGATCAATTAAGATAGTTTCAAATCTTTAATCTAGGGGAACATGCTAATGTCTTAAAACTAACAAAGTGGGGAACAGAGGAAAAACAGAATGATCTATACGGACCCATTTGGGTCATTGTTTCAATTAACTAATAATTGTGCACTAGCCCTTATACTTAGTCACACAAACCCATGCAACATCCTTGTGTCCCCTCCCTGCCCTATCCCCCCTTAATCTATGCTGCATCCTTGCCACACTTCTCAGGTACCCTCATTGACTTTACCCATTGCACACCCTCCCCAATCCTTGTCACACTTCTTGTGCAATCCCTTGTAACTTCCACTTTGTGGCAGCAGCCACTTGCCTACTGGCTTTAGACTTGCAATTTCCTGCAGTCTTCCCCACTGATTTTGCTTATGGAAAGCTTGCAGGGAGAAAGTCAATGAGGAAACTACAGGGAACATTACAAGTTGCTTGAGTAAGTCTCCCCCACCTGTACACCATTCTTTAGTCCCCCTACTTTCATGCTGGCTACTCACACTTTCCTGCACTGTCCTGACCCACAGGATATCCTCACGCACTTCTCCAACCTATGCTGCATCCTCACTACACTTTTCAGGCTTCTGAAAGCTTGCAGAAATATCAGCGATCACAACTGAGTTTAGGCTGCTGGCTTCCCCAATGAATTGTGGAATACTGTCAGGTAATTTGGAAATGACAATCACATTTCCTGCTCTGGCTTGTGGGACCACCACAACTTTTAAAAATTTCAATCCCAGGAGAGTACAGAGTCCCAGTTTTTAGACACATTCTAAAAGGTAGCCACTTAAAGTAGCTTGGTCCAAAAATTATTGCTCTATGATGCACTGTTTTGCTCAATTGAAAATTAGAAACACAAGAGTTTTAGCAGTATATGGATACTATATGTCAACCCCCAAAATTAAACCTGCACCAATAATCAAATGCCCTAATTATTGACAGCAGTTTCTTAAGAGCCGATTTCTAGGGACCCACTCATCCTCTACTCAATGGATCAGAATGCTTCTGGCAATGGAATTGCCAGAAAGTAATACCACCAAAGTAGTGGTAGATATTCTGTGGGCTTGGTCAGGCTTCATGAAAAGGATAGCTATTTTTTGATAAAGTTCAGCATTCCTTTTACTATTTGTTTTAGGTTCTAAAAGAATATTGTAATTATTGTTTCATCCAAGATGATTCCTCCCCTCTCATATATGCCCCTATATCCATGTATGCTGGAAAGGTATGGGAAGAAGTTCTGTGAGATATAGTTATGACATTTAGGACAAAAACGAAATACAATTTCCATGCCAAAGAAAACCTGTTATTTCCTTTTTCTGCAATTTATTCTGATAGTCTGATATTTGGTGTCTGAACTCAGGCTTTAATGTCAAAAACTTCTGCGATATGAATCCTAATGATTGGAATTTCAGAATCACATTGAACTTCAACATTAGCCCCAGATGGAAGGGTGATTTGGATCATTATTCAGAAAATGACCTTTCATTCATTTGAGATTGATACTTGTCTATTTAGTTTCCTAGAATTATGTCTGCTCAAAGTAATGGAAGGTTTGAAAGCTTGCTGAAAGAGATTATGTGTTGATCTGATATTACCTCAGGCGCACTTTTCTTTTCTTACTGTATATTCTACTGGCAGAAAAATGTCTGGAAATAAAGAATATGATATCACTTCTGGCAGTGATTTTATAAACTATCTTGACTAATTTCAAAGTGGTTTAGCTACAGAAGCCTTGAAATCTTGGAAAAGGAAAAAATCTTAATGGAGAAGATTTGATCTAAGTGGCTTTAAAATTTTATCTAGTTCAAGAAAGATAAGCATTTTGGCTTTCATGGCTCAATCGGAATCAATTCTGTCCTCTGTTTACATTATTTCCTGATTCTTCTTGTAGTGAGGCATGTATAAATTACACACTTCTGTTTCAAGAGATTTAAAAGTTCTGATTTCCCTTCTCTCCACACAGTAGTGAACCCTGTCACTGTATTGTTTTATTGAGGTAGAAACAGAATCTTTGCACCATAAAATCAAAAGAGCTAAGGTATAGTTGTATAGGGTAGTCCTTGACTTTTGACCACAATTGAACCCAAAATGCAAGCTAATCAAGACAATGGTTAAGTGAGTTTTGTCCCATTTTACAATTTTTCTTGCCCCAGTTGTTAAGTGAATCATTGCATTTGTTAAAGAGAATCTGGCTTCCCAATTTGACTTTGCTTGCAGAAGGTCTCAAAAGGTGATCACATGACCCTGGGACAATGTAACCATCATAAATACATGCCAGTTGCCAAGCATCTGAAATTTGATCATGTGATCATGGGGATGCGGCAACAATTGGTAAGTGTGAAAAAGTCATGCTACTTTTTTCAGTGCTATTACAATTTCGAACTGTGAGTAAATGAATGGTTGTAATACTAGGACTACCTTGATTTAATTCGTAATTAAAAGTAATTAAAACAGAGAACCTGAAAAAAGACCTAAATAAATTTGAAGTGAATATGAAAATAAGCCTTTATGATACTGTTTCAATTATTTGCAGCAGAACGTGTGTTTTTTTTCATTCTGAGCTTTCAACAATCAAGGCATAAAAAATGCCCATTATCAGAACGACACATTATTGACGGATACGGTAAAAATAAAAACCTTCCCCTTTCTTTTTCTAAAATGGGAACCAATTTATGGAACAGCTGAATAATTGCTTCCAAAATCTAATGGGAGCGTCAGCTTCTATGCTAATCTTAAATAAGGCTTGGAAAGAGAAAAAAAAAGAAAAGAAAAGAGTTGTTTCTTTTTCTAAGAAAGTCTGCAGGTACATTTCCTCATGTTTCGTTTCCATCAAGGCGGCTTTCTTGAGGTGTTTAGAGAAAATGGAGCATTTCAAAAGAATTAGCTTAAATTATGTACTTCTCCACATAATCAGATACTCTTTTCCTTTCAGCCACTACAGAGGCCGCTTATCTCCTTCAAAAAGAAGGATGTCTACTGTGGAAAAAAAAAATTGGCCAGGACAGTTGCGGAGTAGAAACTTTCCCTTTTTATTTTATTTTTCTAACTCAAGGAGTGATGGAGAGCAATTATGTAAAGGGGCTCAGGACTCTGCCTGTCAGCAGGGAAGTCTTTTGAAAACTGAACAGAAACTTGGTCTGGGGGCAGAATTCTGCAAGAGAAAGACTGAATTGAAAATGGGCCAGGTCTGTCCAAGGGCTGGGGAGAAGAAAAAAAATCAAAACAATCTCCTAATCTTTCTATGGGAGAAAAAAAGTGGCCCAGCATCTTGGAATGTTGCCAATTCCTTCATTCTAAGCCCCCGCCTCCTTCCCCACCCATAGTCATGTCACTCAAAGGAGAGCTATTATACAGGAGTTTAAAAAAAAAATCTAGAAGTCAAACCCAGCAGTGCTTTCTCTGTTTCTTTGCTTAAAGAAAACTTCAGTAGGACTGCAGGTAAAGACAGACTTTCAAACCAAAAATCTTGAGAAAAGCTTTTAAGCAATAAACAGAGTCATATATTTTTTTTGTTTCTTGCACAGGGGAAAAAATTCCTGCCTTCTGTGGGATTGTTCTCCAACAAATTTTGGTGGCATGTTGGTTTTGTTTTTAATATGTTGTCTTGTCTCGTTTCCCCCCTTTCCCTTGTCTTTTGTGAGCCGCCCGGAGTCCTCCGGGAGTGGGCGGCATACAAGACAAATAAATAAATAAATAAATAAATAAATAAATAAATAAATAAATAAATAAATAAATAAATAAATAAATAAATA